ATGAGCTTAAGTAAGTTATTCATTAAAAAAATGAATGAGAAAAAAAAAACCAAAAACCCGTCAATACACACAGCTAAAGCCTACCTTTCCTGTATTCTTTTGGATAGACTTAAAATGGGTGATAATTAATTTTTAAGAATTTTGTAATAAAATATCTATCATTCTGGGAAAATTTGTTAGTTTCAATCTTTTGTGGTTGAACGTTAATACCTTAATTGATCTCTTGAATTCGCTATCAAAATTAAATTGTTTGAGTTTCTCATTTTTGACTCAGAGAGTACTAAAAAATTAAAACAATTGCATTGCAAAAAAATGATCTGGAGCATTTGTAAACACATAAAGAAAGATAAAAAACACCTCTTATATTTGAAAGTTTGTGCTTCGTTGAAACTATTTCGTTTCCAGTACTAAAATCAGTCCAGTTATCATTGTGAATACAATGTAAATGCTATGGCATTGATGGCGCTATAGTAAAATATGTGCTTTCGTGAAGACTTTTATTACTTTGATACTCTCACGTTTACTATATAATAATTATTACAAATACTATGATTAGTTACTTACTATATAAGTCTATCACCAGCAAACTAATCATCAAGCAATTGATCGATTGCCCGAACGATCAGTCGGTCGGTTGGTCACTCATTCAATCAATCGATCATCGAACGATCGATCAACTAACCAGTCAAACAACCAACCATACAAACCAACCAATCAACCACTCAACCAACCAACCAACCAACCAAATAACCAGTCAATCAATCAATCAATCAATTGATCAGTCAAACCATTAACCAACCAACCAACCATCTAACCTACCAATCAACCAACCAACCAACCAAAAACCAATCAAACAATCAATTTCATTTTAATCATTTATTTGAAAATCAACTCAATATACAAATAAATAAAATAAACATTACGTATTATAACATACAGTCGAAATAATTAAGTTATGTCAATTAAGTTAAACAAATCAAATATCAGTGTATGTATCATTGAAAATGAAAAAGGGGCAAGCAAAAATGGTCAAATGAACCACAAATGCCTTAACTCAAGCTCTTCATAATAAAAATAAAAGAAAGATAATAATAAAAAAACATATATATATATATAAAATAATATTTGAAGTAGTTGCATGAATAATTAAAGTTACTGTAGAAATAAATAATTCCATTATTGTTCCATTATTAGAGTGCTATTGTTATTATTGCAATGAATTAAGTGTCTACTATTTTAGCACAATATACCGTATTCATTTCATATTTTTCTTCTATTTTTCCTCCTTTCTTCTTTCTATTTCTTTTTCCTTATTTGTAATAATTGTTTATATTTACAACATTAGTTCAACTTGAAAATAAAACAGACATGGAATTAACAATAAACTCTGCTACAGCATACATTTCATGTATTATCCAACGTGTGTTTCTTACAGCCATTTCAAAAAGTTGAAAAACATTAAGTGATGCAGTTTTTAGAAAGAGTTGTTTAGTTGGGTATTGCATATTATGCGCAGGGCTTTCTTTTGTAATTTGTAGATTTTGTCTAAATATGTAGTGTGGGTGGATCCCCATGCCTCGATACCATACGTGATAATGGGAACTATTAGGGATTTATAAATGGTAGTAATACATTAAATGGCATACTGTATTTAAGTTTATTAGTAATTCCAATAATCTTAGACATTTTTAATGTGATCATATTTATGTGGTGACCAAAATTGATAAATTCATCAAAAACGATACCAAGAAACTTACATTTCTCGACTCCCTCAAGTTCCACATTGTTCATTGTAAGACTATAAGGTGTAAAGTCATAAGTCTTACGTGAACTCCTAAATACAATGTAATTGGTTATACTTTCGTTAACAGTTTGTTTGTTTGTTTGAAACCAACCGTTGAGGTGGTTTAAAAGTAAATTTATAGATGCGAAAGCCAAATCTAAATTATTACTACTAAAGAAGATACTAGTATCATCGGCATACATAACAACATTGTTATAATTACACACATTGACTAGATCATTTATGTAGATCAGAAACAATAACGGGCCAAGTATAGACCCTTGTGGAACACCGCATTTTACTGTTGTTATGTGTGAATTTGTATTGTTTACACTAACGAATTGTTTCCGATCAAATAAATATGTTTCAAACCAATTAAGAACAACACCTGCGATACCATAGTGTCTTAATTTTTGTAACAGCAGGCCTTATAGTAGTAGGGATGGGGGGATTCTGGGCCACATCATCCCAAACGCACTCTGATTGGTCAATCAATCACCTAATTTGCATATTGATGACCTCACTTGACCTCACACCTAACTTACATATTGATGACGTCATCAACCTAATTTGATCTCTGATGACCTTTAAATTAATAAATATTATATAGGGCTGAATTACCCAATATAATATAAGGTTACTTAATTAATTGGAAAGTTGTTTAAAGACTTTTCTCCTTCAATCCACCATCTCTCTGTAAGGTACAACTTTAGCATTTACACCTATCGGATTAAAGTTATATTTACTAACAATTTTTCCACTTTCTTGCGTATGGGCTGTATGACCTTTCTCCTTAATAACACCTCTTAACCTAGCTTTTATTATTTTACGTCTCTCAATAGGATCTTCAGGAAGGGGATCCGTTTCGATAAACCTATAAGATACGCTATTAATTTCTCTAACAAGTGCTTTTTTCGACCGTCCCATTTTTAAACTCTTTATAATTTTTAAACTGAAAATTCAAATTTTTAAACCCACAAATTTGGAGAAAATAGAAATCACAACCTTTAAATTAATAAATATTATATAGGGTTAAATAACCCAATATAATATTTTTTTCTAACAAATAATAATTATTTCAGCAATTTCATTGAAAAATCAAATGGATCTACTTGTTCAGCCTTCTTTTATCTTTTCTTCAAGTGATGTAGCAGGAAAACAAAAAAATATTTTTCGAAGCAGGTTGTCATTTTTACCAATTGATTTAAATACATCAAGCATAGCTTGTTTCTTTTCCTTTAAGTCGCTATACTCACCTGTTTGAATAACTTTAATCATTTTTACTAATGGACTTAATTTTTAAACCGAAAATTCAATTTTTCCGATACCTAATGTATGGATACCATCCTCTGCAATTATTCTCTTATCATCGTTTGCAGATAGAGCAACCTTGTTAACCGTCTCGCTATATAATTCATGTATATTAGACCTGATAACATTCATTTGTCTATAGGTGGGTTTATGTTCACCCCCATTCTTTTCACTATTAATACAGTCTAGAAGACACTCTTTATAATCTCCGAATGTTATCTCATTTTTAACAACAGATTTTTTCATCCCCTTGCATTTCTTATCATCCTTTTTACTAAGCATTTTTAACGCGTACAATTTACTTCTTAGACCTATAAACCCTGTATATAATATGTCCAACAGCTTCATCCTTAAACATCCCGAGAAACGTTTTATTTACACCTGTAGGTATACCAGACGGATGACCTTTTCCGTAGTTTGAGGTATCGAATTTATTCTTAACATCATCCGATATATCTTTGTAAAAGTCCTTAGTTTTCAAGGAATCTGTGTCCGTAAACAACAACATCTCCATATTTTGGTTTTATGTAGTTGTAGTGAAATTGTACATATGATTTTTAATTATATCTAATATAGAGAACCCTAGATATATGGGTTTATTGAATATTAAATTAGTTTTCTTCATATGAATCGCTACGAGGTTTTCATTAAATTTAGTAATGTGATCAAAGTTTGGTTTTTGTGTATGTTTCTTTGCAGATTGTTCGCTATTTGTCAACTTGATATTTACCCTATTGCGAATATTTTCCATAGTCTTTCCAAACACAGAGTTATTCATTAGCTTAAAGAAATCTTTTTCAAACTCATTTTTTGCTTGAGATCTCATTTTGGTATTAAGATCATTGTAGCTGCCTCAACGTAGCAGCTTTAATATGCTGATCAAAAAGGACACTGAAACGATTTTACTGGCTTCGGCTGTATCATTTATTCTATATTTCTTGCCGTCATATCAAGCCGTGTCGTAAAATTCTGGCAATCAAATAACAACAATCATAATTATTAACATTCAGAAAATAGCAATACAATCATAACACTAATTAATTAAATCATCAAATCAAACTTCAGGCTTATGTAGTTATTTATCATATTATTATCAACACTGCTCATCCACAGTATCAACTGTAATTACTAATTATTATTATAATCGTTTTCATAGGTAAGTCAATGTATTACAAATGATTCCACAGTCGAATGTAGATCCTAGTATAGAGAAATATCATAGTTAACAATAACAGTATTAACAGTATCCTGCTGTGCTGCTCAATCAAGCGGAACGGACCCGCATCGAGTGTACGACGACTTTCAGTGAATCATCAATGAAGGAAGTTTCAAACACAATAACTTTAAATTTAAGCCTAGAATGCTTACAATGCAATATCATATAAAATAATCAAATTGTTCAACATAGCAATTGTCATGGTGATTATCAATACAATTATGAGTACAAGAAATATAGTAAAATCATCTTATTTCCTGAATATGTTTGCATGGAATAATTAACTAGGCCTAGGCTACGCCTACACATACAGTAATGCGTACACCCGACTCCGTGAGAACTCCATACAGAGCAAAAGCAATACAGTACCTGTTTATCTAAATTAAACAAGGCATAATACCACAATATTTCCGCTAACCAGAAAGTACATCAATATGTTCCTGGTATATTACTTAAACATTGAATAAAGAATATTTACCGGTTCAGGTGTCACTGCATCAAAAATCAGACATATCACAGAGGGCGCTATGACCAAAAACATATGTATCGGTATCCGATACAGGGCTCCCTTTAATTTCTCTTAATTAACCCATTACAAAATCATCAAAAATTAACAAATTACCAACAGATATGACACATTTTTTTGTTTTATTATTTAGTTTACTTAGAGTTGTTTTTTTTTTTTTTTTTTTACAGTTCTTGTATGCAACAGTTGTTTTTTTTTTTTTTTTTTTTTACAGTTCTTGTATGCAACACCTTTAAGATTCGTTGCCTACTAGTAAAACCAACTCTCCATTTTTTTCTTCCTGAGTACAGGGCTACCTTCCTGACAAGTTCATCTTTACCAGGCATGACTTTGGTTACACGTCCTAGTTCCAAAGTAATTCGGGCTGCGCCTTCGTCCATCACCATAACAACATCTCCTATTCGCATATTTCGTCTCGTCACATTCCATTTTTGCCTACTCTGTAGAAGGTGGACGTACTCCTTGCGCCATCTTGACCAGAAACATTCGGCCAGGTGCTGGACTCGTCTCCACATTTTCCTGCTATAGCGACCATTTCTGTTAAAGTTGCCCGGTGGAGGCGGTACAAAAGGCTTCATCCTGAGTAAATGCGCTGGGGTCAGTGGCTCTAAACTAGCATCCTCAGTGGTATATAAGGGTCGACTATTTACAATGCCCTCAGCCTCGGCCATGAAAGTTATCAACATATCATCATTAAGTTGTGACCTATGTTGTAACATAAGTGCATCCAAAATACTCCTTACTGTTTTTATCATGCGCTCCCAAACGCCACCGTGGTGGCTTGCTGTTGGGACGTTGAAAAGCCAATTGCAATTTAAGTGAAGCAGTTGAGACTTTAAGTCTTCTTGATTCATTTCAGTCATTGCTTCACGTAGTTCTCTTGAAGCACCGATAAAGTTGGTACCTGATCCGATCTTAATTGTTTAACTGCACCTCGTTTAGCTACAAGTCTTCGAAAGGCGTTGAGAAACGAGTCAGTGGACAGCGAACTGGCAACTTCTATGTGGACACTAAGTGAAACAAGGCAAGTAAATAGTACACCGTAGCTTTTCTCCAACTTCCTGCCATTCTTCACTTCGAAAGGTCCAAACAGGTCTACACCACAATATGTAAAGGCTGGTGCAGGTTCTAGTCGATCGGGCAGTAGGTCTGCCATTCTCTGTGTCTCTGGCTTCCTTCTTAATCTACGGCACAGTACACAGTTATGGATAAATCTGGCTACGGATGACACTCCACCAATTATGTGAAAACCACCAGCTCTAATGGCATTTAATGTGATACATCTACCTTGATGGTGCGTCACTTGGTGATAATGAGTTACTATTAAACGTGTTAGTTCAGATTTGCTAGGGATCACTACTGGGCATTTAATGCTTTCAGGAAGACTGATTGACCTCTTTAGTCTTCCCCCTACCCTAATAAGGCCATCTTGGTCCACCACAGGATCTAGCCGGGTCAACTTATCAAGCTCCTTATAGTGGTTATGCTGAGTAGCTTTTACCATCAGTTTCTTGGCTCTGTCAATGTCCTGAGTTGTGAGATCTCCACTTTTCCAACCATTTGTATGAGAAAACAATACATAGAGCAAGAACTCTGCTTGCTCGGCTCCAGCTGGAGTATCGCTTTAACATCTCTGGAATCATTTGTACACTAACATGGGTGGCCTGAACTCTTACCCTCTTTACTTCAACATCTGTATCATGTATTGGTTCTGGTGGATAATCTTCGATTTTGTAAATCAGCTCACCGAGGAACTTAGGCCCTTGCCACCATAGATCACAATCCAACAATTCCTCTACAGAGCTGCCACGTGAGGCGATGTCTGCTGGGTTTTGTTCAGAGGCAATGTAGTGCCACTGGGTTGGCTCGCTGAGATTACGGATAGTTTGTACTCTGTTGGCCACAAAAACATGAAAGCGTCTGGACTCATTGCTTATATAGCCAAGTGCCACCTTACTATCTGACCAAAAGTGCTCAACTAGATTGGGATATTTCAGCTCTTCTCTTAGGATCCTTGCTATCCTTGCAGATACCATGGGTGCAGTTAACTCTAGCCTCGGTATCGTCAGTGTTTTTAAGGGTGTTACTCTGCATTTGCCCATGACAAGTGATACTCTTACAGTTCCATCTTCGTGCACTAGTCTTAGGTACGAACACTGACCATATCCTGAAGTGGATGCATGACTAAAGTGGTGAAGTTCAACAGAAGACACCTTTCCAGTTGCATTAGGTGCCTTATAGCATCTGCTAATTTTAATGTTGCTGAGGTACTGAAGTTGCTCTTTCCAAGCTATCCAATGTTGGATTGTATCGTCATTTAACGGTTCGTCTCAGTCCTTTCCTTTTGCACAGACATTCTGGAGGATTCGCTTCCCCTGTAAAATGTATGGACCAATTAATCCAAGTGGATCAAACACAGCAGACACAGTCAATAGAATGCCTCTTCTTGTCGGAGGATTCTCTTTCATGTTGCCTTCAAATGTAAATACGTCGAGAGTAGGGTCCCACAATATTCCCAAAGTACGTTCTGTGGGTAGATTACTCAAGTCCTTCTGGCTGACATTAGATGCGATGCAATCATCTGGAATTGTTCAAAGTAAATAATAAATTTATATATCAGAACATAATTCTAAAGGAATTTATTCAGCCGAAAGGAATGACGTACTGGCAAAGTATGCTACACGATGATCGTATTGAATGGTAAAACATATGGGGGGAAAATGAAATTTATGAGATTAAACTCAAACAACTAAATTTTAAACTAATGCATGCCATCCTTATATCAAATAAAAAATTATACCAATATAAAATAATTAGATCTCCGTTATATGATTATATACATATTATGTTTCTACATTGTAAGCGAGTAAAGGGATACTGGCCTAATATCAAACGGGTGTTAAAATATGGATTTATAGTAGATATAAACATGAATACAATTGTTAAGGGAATTCACAATATAGAAGACAATACTGTAAATGAACTCATGACCTTGGCAACCTTTTTAATTTATAAAACATGGCTAATATCACGTGAAAACATCACTGAGCTATCAAAGCCTATTATACCAATCTTTTATGCCGAGCTTAAATATAGAAAAGACTTGCAGGAAAAAATTATATTAGAGAAAAAGCTTGTAAATTTAAGAATTTAATAATTGATATAATAAAATCCATTTTATTATGTGATTATTATTATTATTATTATTATTATTGTTATTGCTATTATTATTATTATTATTATTATTGATTGTGATTGTGATTATTATTATTATTGTGATTATTATAGTGGTAATTTAATGACCTTTGGTCAACAAGTGAAAAGAAAATTAAAAATTAAAAACAACTTGTCTTTGTAAAAATTCATTAAGAGATGTTAATGAATACTTTATAATGATAAATGATATTTGTGAATAAATGACCTCCTTTGATCAACAAAAGAAAAAAAAAAAAAACAAGAAATAAATCGTTTTATTCCAAATTGTGTTCCAATGTACTATGAAATCATTATTCAAATTTATTGTTTGTGCCTTTAAAAAAACATATCAGTTCACATTTATAATGTTTGTATTAAAAGGCCGTTGGCCTATATATACTGATTAAAGTCTCCCTTTAGAAATAATGTTGAACTCAAAATTATTTTGCCCCCCCCCCCCCATGCTATATGGTGCTTATGTAACATGTTAATCAGTTGATCGGGTTAACATTTGTGTTAAACAAATGAAGATTTTGTACATAAAAGAAAATTAAAATATAGAATAAAGAACAACCCCTACATTATATATCAAATCATGTACGTTATAGTTTTTGAGAAATGTATAAACATTTGTAGATAAGGGGAAATTTAGTTCTCAATAATGGACGTTTCCGGATTGTCAATCAATTTAAGCCTTACCGACTTTTCAAAAGACACAAAATTCACTTTAGAATTATTTACCGTTTTGTTCTTGATTACCCTTTAACATGCTGAATGTGGGGACAATTTATTTTAAAGGCACTTGAAATTTTTTTTCCATTTTTTCTTTATTGTTTTTGCTACGCAAGTAAGATCGTGTATTTCTGCAGCTAAACCTGAATACTTTCGGTATATACTGAACAACTGCTCCAGTAAAACTGCTTTCTCGACCTTAAACACCTTACTTAAAACAGCAACCACAAGTACTATCCTGATCATAATTGTCCGAAGATTCTGGCAAACAAGTTTGCTGACTTTTTCAGCCAGAAGATTTCTGATATTCGCAATGACCTTGAGTCACCCGCCTGTGTGGAACATTATTCTCCTGCCTCTACTAAACCTAACTCTTTTCCAACTTTAAAACTGTCTCTCATGAGGATATCTCAAAAGTAATTGGTCGGAGTCCATCAAAGTCGTGCTGCCTTGACCCACCTCCTGTGTGGTTTTTGTCCCTTTTGACCCCAGCAATGCTAGCAGCACTGTCTCCACTTTTCATACCTTATCCCTCTGTGTTGCTGATACTTAACAGGGGTTGTTAGGCAACACACTGAGGCTGAACGAAAAGAAGACTGAGTTTTTGGTTTGTGCCTCTAAGAGTCATCTTTCCTTAGATCATGTTAAAAGGTTTAAACCTGTTGACAGGGGACACCATTAATCAATCCTTCCGACAGTTTCCGCACTCTTGGAGTGACTATTGAGTCGTCAGCAGGTCTTAGCCTACAAGTATCAAAGGGCTGTTAAGTTCCATCTAAGAAACTTATGGAGAATCAGGAAGTCCACAGATAGGGATACCTGCCATGCTGCTGTGAGGGCAATGGTTCTTTCAAGACTGGAATACTGCAATTCACTGTACAGTGGCCTGTTAAAAAAAGATTTATACACCCTGCAAAAACTTCAAAATTGTGCAGCTAGACTCATTTTTTTTCTTGTAAGTCACGTACACATACATCTTCCTTTATTCGTGATCTCTGTTGGTTGCCTGTACAGGAAAGAATTACATTCAAACTTCTCCTCTTTGTTTTCAAATCACCTTTGTACATATCATTATGTACCCATATGCGCTTAACAAGATCTTCCAACTCCATCCAACTTGTTCGACCGGTCTACCATAAACGTATTGGTGACAATTCATTCCCTTCAATTGCTGCCCAACATTGGAATGGTCTGCCTAATTCTCTCAGATCTTGTGATTCGCTTAGGCAATTCAAAGAACATCTAAAAACAAACTTTTCAGTAGTTCCTCTCACCTCGCTTGATCGTTTTTGTTTATTGTTTTCTTTGTTTTCTTATTTTTGTACTGCTTTATTGTATTAGTTAAGTTAGCTTACATGGGTTTGGTTCTCTCCAAGCTTTACTCGGGGGGATGTTTCTGACTTATTGTGGAGAGTCGCTTACAGCGCTTCGTAGCTGAAAAAAGGGCGCTATACAATTAGTAACATACATTACGATAATACGATAATACGAGAAGCTTTATTGCTTTAACAATAGGCTAAGAAAACACACAAAAAAGGACACAAAACACTAAATAAATAATAATAATAATAATAAAAAAAAAAATTAAAATTCACCGAAGAGAGAATAAAATAGGATATATTTACAATTTCATATACAATTTCGAAGCAAAATATGTACAAATCAGCGAATAGGAGTAACAAAACATTTAAAAAGTTTAGAAAGAAAGCGTTACCAGAATATACTCAGTCTACCAATTATTGAAAAGACCACAGTTAATAATAAAACGTTTTGACCTCTCGCATCTAACTTTAGGAAGGTCATAGGCTTTCCTCGAACGCAAGTTGTACTTATTAACTGTTGCAGGCGTGAGCAAGTCGTTTAATTTGTGTTTCGGATTTTTGACATTATTAAAATATTTTATACTGAGCATTTCACGTCTTTTTTCTTCCAAAGATGATAAGGAAAGTGCAGCATTACAAATATCATAATAACATAATCTCATATACTAAATATAATACAAACAAAAATCTCATCTTTCTAATGTAAATATAAGTATTACAAAATCCATAGCCAACATAATATATATGTATATATATTATATATACATATATATATATATTAATATAATATAATATAAAATATAATTACAAAATGTTTCATCTTTCTAATATAAAAATTCATTTAACTAACAGTACTTTGAAGTGTTCTCTTAAGGCTTTTTTTTTTGTCTGTTTCACTTAACGTCTATGCCTTTCAAAGGCAGCCTTAACTGTTGTCTCCATTAATATTTCTAATTGAAGACGGAACCCAAGTTCTAAAATGGTTGAGAATTAGAGGGGGACTTCCTCTTTCATGTCATAACACAAAACGCATCAAAACCATAACTCAAAAACCATCTTGGAATTATTAACTAGTTTGTCAGTCATTCGAGAGGCAAATTAACATTTTTCATTTTCATTTCATTTTATTTTATTTCACACAACGAAAAAAATACAATATAAAACCGCACCCAAGTTCTAAAATGGTTGTGAATTAGAGGGGGACTTCCTCTTTCATGTCATAACACAAAACGCATCAAAACCATAACTCAAAAACCATCTTGGAATTATTAACTAGTTTGTCAGTCATTCGAGAGGCAAATAAACATTTTTCATTTTCATTTCATTTTATTTTATTTCACACAACGAAAAAAATACAATATAAAATTCTTCAGAAAGGTAAATAAATAACAACATTTATAATAATAAAATTTATAGCAATAATAATGATAATAATGATAATAATAATAATAGTAAATATAATAATAATAATAATAATAATAAAAGAAAGGTTGTGTGCGGAGGACACAATAAGCCATTAAAGTTTTAAGTCTGTGCCTCCATTTAACTTAAGCTAAGTAGTATTGAGAGTGAAAGAAAGGCCTAAATTAATTCGTCAGAACTGTAAGATTAATTACAATGAGAGTATAATATTTATAAAATAAGAAGTGATAAAAAAGTTAAATTAATAATAATAAATTTATTTGCAATTAAACAAGAGGTCGTGAAACAAAAAAAAAAAAAATGCAAGCAATAATAAAGCAAGTAATATTAAAAGGCCAATAATAATAATAATAATAATAATAATAATAATAATAATAACAAAAGGCCGATAAAATAAGTGAAAAAGTACTAACAGCATCAAAACAGAACAAAGATAATATATAATAAAAGAGAGAAAGGGGAGCGATCTTTATATTATTAAAATATGTAATTTTGAACTAGAATGTTTTTGTATCTATGTTTAAAGGAGTTAATATTATGAACTTCCTTGAGTTCAGATGGCAGATTATTCCACAGATATGGTCCGGTGTAAATAAAGGATGTTCTTCTTAGAGATGTGGAATGTCTCTCGTAAATTAAATTTTTTGCAGTGGCAGATCTGGTATTATAAGAATGTTGTTGACTAAAACTTTTAAAATATGTAAAATGAGGGTGTTGTAAAGAGAAAACAAAATATTTGGTGGAAAAGTGTGCCGTAATTTAGTTAACATTCCAATATTTCGTGATTTATAGTGGCAATGTGCGGTTTCCAACTTAATTCAGAGTCAATTGTCACCACAAGAAATTCAGACAATCAATTTTTTTAATTGGGTGTCCATCAATGGTTATATCAGCAGAGAGATTATTGCCTTTTTTACTATTTTTTAAGGAAAATAGTTCGTTTTTGATATATTGAGCGATAGTCTGTTTGCTTTAAACCAGAGAGAGTCTTTTTTAAGTTCGTCATTGATTGTTGTTAAGAGTAAATGGTAGATCAAAGGTGCACTTTGCGTGTTTGGGAGCAAATAGAGGCCTATTTAACCACTGATTTAGCTTTTTACCCTGTATGCAAAATTAATATATAAGGAGGACGTTATGATGAGAGTAAATTAAATTTCTTCATGATATCGTCTTGATATTAAAATCGATAGTACTACAACTAATGCTTCTTGATAGATCTTGACGAACTTTTATAAAATTGCCCCCTGTGAGTAATACCTTTATTCATGCATGTTTACTTCCCTGTAATGCAATAAGTTTACCTAAGAGCCGCGAAAAACGACGTCATTTTTATTTTGAAGCCTTAACACAATACTTACTGCTGCATTTGTTTAAGCCCCGATGCTTTTATAAACATGTTAGGCGTATAAGGTTAAAGGTTTCAGGAAGTAAAATATATTTTAAGTTAGATTTCTAAAAGTTGGATAGCTTTGCATAAGGTGGGATGTTAGTTACAAGTCAGATAGACTAAAGTTTCAGCAATGGACTTGAATGCTGCATTATTTGTGAGGATACTCCTCTTTCAATTCCCTGCGTTGGTCATAGGTAGGTAGGACAAGCAACTGGTATTAGGGATTGTTCAACAGTGTATAGTAGGAATAAATCAGAACTAAATAGAAATGTAGTTCAGTCTATTGTAAACATTTCGAGTCTGAGATTTTCCGCAAAATCCAATATCGAACCTAAAGTGAAAACCTTGAGAATCACTGACTTGGAAAACCGATAAATAATAATAATGATGATAGTAATAAGTTTGAGCTTAGTTTATTTACATTTATTTTATTTGTATTTAGAATGTGGTGTACTCGATATACTTTACTTTTCAAGAATACCTACAAGTAGTAGAGAAGTAGAAGTATTTGGATACACCTTAAAAGATGACGTAACTGAAGATATAACGCTAGATATACTGAACGACGACCGAGGCCTCAGGAACGTCACTTGGGCTGATGCAGGCACATACTTATGTGATACCGTATTTTCAGGAGGAGGCAAATGTACAAACCGCGTTCTCAAAATTAAAGGATATGTTGTCTCTAAGCGTCTTGGCATAAAATTGCTTGATTATCCCACTGTGTTTTCATTAGAAGCAAAGAAGAATGGCACAATGTCACGAACAGCAATTGTCATGATGTCATCTACTGGTAAGAATATAACACACCTAGATTTTTCGCGATAGGAATGGGGCCGACGTCCCCGACGAGAGTGAAATTAGGCTTGGTCGGTAATCGCTCAAACTCTTTGTGAAGTGGTTCTGGGGCGATTCCCCTGCAAAAAAATTTAATCGATTTTATAGTCTACTATACCGTACTTTTTTATACTGTAATTTTTTGTATACCTGACGAATTGTGTTTTTTTTTCTCCCGGGGAGAGGGTAGGAGAGCAGATTATGGCCAAACCTCCTCTAAAAATCGTCGAAGTGGTTTTGAAAGTACTATCGGCTAATTTTGATATTATCTGAAAATATTGGTCTTGAGAAGCTCAGAACTAAAAATTACCTAAAATCCCTTTAGGGGAACACATCCAAATGATGCATTCAAAATGGTCGCCATTTTTCCACTTTAAATTATAGTTTTTATCGCAGTTATATAAAAAATAACATTACTTGAATAATGATTATCAAGAATTGTGATACTTACTCAAAATATTCGTTTATCATCGAAAATAAATCTTGCCTTAACAAAAACAATAATTTCATTCACAATAGCAACCGTTGCTATTGTGATTACATATTGTTAATATCTTAATTATCTATTATTGTCATAGAATATGATTATGTAAAAAAAACCTCCACAAACCACTGATGCATTGCGTAGCAACACTATTTTTATCGTCCATAGCAAAAACAAAAATCTGCAGAATTGCTGTACATTTGTCAATGACCAAGCAAAAATCAAGAGATACATAACTTTTTTATATTAAAAATCTCTTATTGAACAAAGTTAACACATTAATGTATACAAGACAAGGTTAACACAATATAAACCGTTGCTATGCAAATTTAAATTACCTATTTTGTTCAAGAAAATTATGTATAAAGGGATGATTAAAACGTATTGAAATCATCATTGTCACAAGTTTATGAAAACATTTTTTTTTTGTATTTAAATTATCTATCATATTATAGAAGCGCATTATGTAAGAAAAAAAAAATCAAAGAACAACTACATTGAAGTGAAATTTACATAATTGCTGGTATTATTTGTCTCAAGTTAAATATCATTAGATTGGCTTATACAATATTTTTTATACGATAAACAAGCTTTTGTAGAAAAAATGTTATCTCAATGGTGTATAAAATACAAGGTCATCACCATAGCAACCGTTGCTATGCAAATTTAAGTTTCCTCTTTTTTAATCATGAAATTTAAGTATTAGGGATGCTTAAAGCTTATTGTAATCATCATTGTCATAGGTTTATGAATATTTTTGTATTTAAATTATGTATTATATTATAGAAGAGCATAATGTAAAAATTTCTAATTCACATAGGCCTAATTGCTGTTATTATTTGTCTCAAGTGAAATATCATTAGATTGGCTTATACAATATTTTTTATACGATAAACAGCTTTTATAGAAAAAAGTAAACTCAATGGTGTATAAAATACAAGGTCATCACCATAGCAACTATGCTATGCAAATTAAAATTTCCTAATTTTTCATAAATAAGTATAATGAAGACCTAATGTTTAATAATACTAATTAGTAAAGGATTTATTTGAAATGTTTATCAAATATCGTATCGAGTTTGAAAGCAAGGTCATCACCATAGCAAATGTTGCTATAGAAATGTTATTATATTTTTACATAATTTAAATAGGTCTATAATTCATGTAATTAAGGTTTTATGAATCATTAATAAAATATAGAATAACATTATGTAATATAGAAATTCAAGCTAAGGAAAGTAATTTTTTATTTTCATGGTAACTATGCAAAGTCAACATAATTATCTCTTCTCATAAATCAAGAAATATTTAACTTTCATATAATAACCAGAGGGCTAGCTCTCATGTGCGTTGCAGAAAATGACAAAATATTTAGATAGTTCTGAATATGTCATTTATGTGGTATTAGAATCGCCGTTATTATTACAAGTGATATGATATATCAACCTGGTTCTTAATAGGCGGCCTGTGAGCCAAAATTGGCCCCGCGAAGCAAAATATTTTGCCCTCGAGAAAAAATATAATTATGAAAAAAATGTATTTAAAGAAACTAAAAGTAACCAGATTTGAAATCGTCACTGAGGACGAGTTAGGCGATATGCTTGTCAGGCAAAAGAAATCTCTAGGCGCTTAAAATTATGAATTATGGGAAACTACCGTAGCCAGGATTTTCAAACAGTGTAAAGCAATATCAAATCTGCCGCGCTCTCTTTGGGGTTCTGAAAAAAACTGAAGAAAGAAAGAGGTGGGGAGGGGGGGAAACTTAAATTTTTTTTTTTAAAACCATGATGACATCATCAAAGTGAAAAATGAATGACACATTGTCAAAGCAAACTGTCTCAGCTATAACATACACAAAGTTTGGAGACGATTGATCAACAATAAGTGAGATACGTTTAAGTGAGTATACAAATTATGACGTTTAAATAAAAAAAAAAAATCAGTTTTTAAAAATTGAGATGGCAATATGATGACGTCAAAATGTCCGATCAGCCATAATGATCCATAAAATCATATCTACAACTCATGTGCATTCAGAATATGTAATAAAAATTGGGGGTCACCTTTCATCCTAAGGAGCTATTACTGATTAAATATAGGCTTGATTTTAAGCATATTTTAATTTTGACGCACGTGTATGCGCACGTTATGACGAGCGCACAGACAAATTAAAGCACATGATATTCAACCTTGACCTAAAACCTATGCCCACTGAATATGATTCAGAAATTACGACTGGTTAGGATGACATATGGTCTTCGAAATTTTGAGGAACGAAAGATGAGGAGGGTCATAAAATACATTTATTTTGACCATGATGACGTCAACAAAATGTAAAAGAAATCATATATGAAAGAAATCTGTCTCAGATATAACGTACTCAAAGTTGGGAGACGATTGATCAAGGATAAGCGAGATACGCTCAAATGCGTATTTTCAAAAATGACGTTATAGATAAAATTCAGTTTTATTGAATTTAGATGGCAATATGATTACGTCACAATGTCTAATCATCAACATATTTACAACTCATGTGCTTTAAGAAAATATAATAAAAATTGAGGGTCACCTTCATCCTAAGGAGCTATAACAGATTAAAAATAGGTCTGATTTTAGCATATTTTCACTGTATATCGGCACAATCGCGTGCAAAGATTCATATGTTTGGTGCACGCGTACGGCATTGCTATTGGCCATAAGATGACCGTAAAGAATGGAAATTTGTGAAAACAATGTCAGGAACCCAAAATATGAAAAAAAAAAAACACGTAATTTTTAGCTTCCGTACGTGCTGCGCACGTCAAAATGTCAACAAATTTTGAAATGTTAAAAATGACCTGATAGTGCTCGAATTTAGTCAAAAAGTGATTCTGAGCATCTTGAAATTTTGACGCACGCGTGCGCGTGTTACGCAAATTGTTCGGTACGTGATATTCAACCTTGACTTAAAGTTTATGACTACTGAATATGATTGAGAAATGACAATTGGTTAGGACAATTGGATATGATCGATAATGTAAAAACGCAAAATTGCGTGTAGATGAGGTCACGCATGACTGAGCACATTGAAAACCTTATTGTGGCTATTCCAGGCCAAGCCAAATGTTCGTTGAAGCTGCCATGTGCGTAGCTCGCGCCAATTTTGAGATATCGTGCGCACAAAATATGGTTAGAAAGAAAGAAGAATAAGAAGATGATATCTGACAATAACAATAGGTGAGGTGATCCGCTCCTGAAGCGGATCACCAATAAACATTTTGATTAATATTTTTTTCAATAAAGTGAAGGCCAAAACACAACACTGGACTAATGTGAAGTAGAGGTGAACCCCACCCAGATCTAGAATTAAATCCGTTACCAACCAATCGTCTTAGATCAGTTAAATATGACCTAACAGATTGAAAATAAAAACTTGAACATAGACTTGTTTTTATTATGAGTAGACCCAAGATTTTACTGGCAAAGAGTTTTTAGGCTATAAATCCCTGGTATTTAATGAATATATGATGGGTGAATTTGCACAAACATCGATTGTGCGCCGAACTAATAAGTTGAACACAATTAGTATGACTGAAAAAAAAATGCTGTGTTTTTGTTACGATTATGCATGTAACTTCACGTTTGTTTGAGAGCTGTTGTGTGGACGCCTGCAGGTAACAATAATATTTAGTTAGGTGTAAACGACGAGAGGTAAACATAAGAATCAAAGTCAATATGATAGAGAAAAACTAATTTGTGGAAAAATTACCACATTC